AATCGCATAATAAGGCAGAATAGTTTCAATACTGTTACTGTAATAAATGCTATGTCAATTAGCACTGCATTGTTCATATACTTTATTTATTACCTGGAGATGACTTGACAAACACAAATAAGCCATATATTGTCGCAATCGTATGTTTAATGTCTTCATGTTTCCAAACGTTTCTGTTTTTCTGTGAAAACAATTTTTTCATAGTTTTCATACAGCGATTTTGTCCATATTAGGAATTTCCTCGTACGACTTTCTGCGCGAGAGCGCCCTCCGGCTTCGAGTATGAATGAAACATACACTGCATGGAGTGTTTTGCGTTCCGTGATGTTCATCTCGCCTTATTCTGGGTCCGAATAAAACATCAGATCATGCACAGACTATCCTGTCTCTTTGAATTTAAATATATATTTATTCACACCGGCTCTTGAAAACCTCTATGCGAACACACTTGCCCGAAAAAAGTGCGGGGGAAGAATTTTCGGTAAAACAAAAGGGGGGGGGGGGGACACATCCCCGGCGTCCCCCGCGTAATCTACGCCCCTGCTTGCTGGAGCTTTGTATTGATGTTTGCAATGTTGAACTGCCTTTAGCAGCCTCCCTTAGCTCTTTCTATCTGTCTCTGTCTTCTTTTTTGCGAAGGCATTTTTTTTGTCTACAAAGTGTGTCAACAACAGCGAATTTTGTGTTATTTATATTAGAAATGTTTGGTTACAATAATTTTATTAGACATTCTAATTCTAAGAACGTGGATATTTTGTTGTTATCACTTTTAAAAGACCGAGAGCAAATCATTACCAACAGAAATACAAAAACAAACTACCAAATTTACTAAATTTGACTAAAACCACTAATTCAGCGAATCATCCACTGACTATAATGTGGATTGTAATGCATCTACCTGTTAATGCAACGACATTGGGAACTGTGGTCTCCACTCCAGAGAGCAGCACACAGATCGTGAGAAATGCTGCGGAGCGGGCGGGAAAACACAGAGCGGACTAGAGGAATCAGCGGATCTTTAGCGGAGCAGGAACAAACCGCTTTGAGCTGGGGTGATGGGGGGATTGGTGAGAGGGGCAACTCAGCTGATGAGGGCAAAGGGGCAGTGGCTCTAGCCACCGGGCCACCCCCCTGTGCACGGCCCTGATAAGGAGAGTAATTATTTAACTGAATTGTATTAATGTGTTTTTGCTCAAGAGAGATCTGTTAATGTAGTTTTGTGGGTCACCATTGTGCTGGAGAGTAGAGCCTGTGCTTCAGATGAGCCACAAACACTGATGTTCTGCTGTTTTATTTAAAGACAGTAAATGTGGAGTTGATGCAGTGATGATCTCTTTGTTAAGTACTTCAGCACATACATATGTGCTATTGCTGATGATGAACTGCAGCGATTTGAGTTAAAGTAATGTTTTTAGTAGCTTTACTATTACACATTAAGTGTTTGCAGTTTTATACTAAGAAATATTCCTTCTCAGTGGACTCAAATGAAATAAGTTAACCAAATGTTTACACACTATAACAGCAGTGAAAAATCTCAATTGTAGTTAATTTAGTGAATTAAATTTCACAACAAATGTTCTAATTTACTGTAAAATGTATGTATAGCATTACAAGTTCACAGTTGCTCTTGTAATTTCACTCATATTTATAAACGTTTAATTTTACACTGATAGCTGTAAAAAACAGTTTGCTTTATTTTTACAGTACAATTGTAATTATTGATTTACAGTACTTTTGTAAATGTACAGTCTTACTGGCAACCAAAATTGCCAGTAAGTTACTGTACATTTTACAGCAATGTTTTACAGTGTACCCACACTTGTCTGTATGTACAAAATAATTACCATGCATGTACGACTGTTAAGTACAGACGTGTTTCTTATTTGTTATCATGTACATACACTTCAGGTAAGTACCTTGTGTTACCACTCATTTGCTTGTAGGTACAATATATTTGCCATGTATGTACCAGGGAAGTACACGTACTGTAAAATAAAGTGCTACTGGCATTTTTTTAGTATGCAAAGACAATAATTACACTCTTTTGATTTTGTGAACAACAACATTACAGCAGCATCAGAATGCTAGGTGTCTTAATCACGCATCACTTGAGTTGGACCCAGGATGATTCTGAAAAGAAAACTCTACTGTTGCTATAGTAATGAACACAACTTTCATGCATATCTGATTGAGAGATAAACTGCACGCTCTTATTTCAGTGTTGTTGTTTTGTTTTTTTTGGTGGATATTTCAGCTAACAGTTTGCTTTGTACATTCAGTTTAAAAAAATTAAGTTAAATTTAAAGACTGTCCACAACCGCTGCGACTCTGGACGCTGTTCCAAATCCTGCCGCACCACAGAGTGCCACTCACAAAGTTTTCTATAAAATCACATTATATTTGTCCCAAATTATTGTAAATGTACATAATGACTTCATCCTAGGCTTGAAGATTGTGTGTTGTGCATCTTTCAGCACAACGTTTGTCTTTTATGTCAGTATGCTTTATAGAGAGAGCTAATAATAGACATAGATAGCGCTTTCTCTTTCCGTTTGCTCTGTTTTGTCAAACACCATACTTCAAACTAATTCAGCCTTTGTTCATTCCTGAAGTGAACTTTTCTATGAACTGTTTTGGACTGCTGTCTTGAACTGGGTGCAATACGTGTGAGCTGTAGACGCGGTGTGGCTTCTCCTCCGGTGTGTGCGACAGGTTCTTATTCTGGCCATCATGTATTAAATGTGCGTCCTTGAAAGATTCTAACATATTTACTTCAACTTCTTAGGTGACTAATATCAATGGTATGAAATATTTCAGATACGTCCGAAATTACAAAAACATATAGGCTATACAGTATATACAATATTTAATAGTTTGATCAAAATTATTGCTAGGGACAATTTGGTAGTTGCTGGATATTGGTAGGGACCATAGACTAAAAAAAAGATGGACAACGCACCTTCACTAACTTCCATTAAAGAAAAGTAAAGCCGCCATTGTTCCAATAGGGCACGGCCATATTGCGCTAATTTGGGACCAGAGTCTGCGCAGCAGCGAACTCGGGACCCGAGTCTGTGCAGTAGTGAGTGAAGTGGAGCCACGTCTCGCCCACACTCCCACAGAGTCGGTCACAAACACACACCCCTGACCCTTTTTAATTAGCCTGACTGCTCCAATTTTTGTCTGCTGATTGCCGTAAAAAATAGTCTTGTGTTAAAATAGGGTAAATACAACTCCAATCTCTTCCTGAAGATCCTGAAAAAGTCTGTTGGTGCCTCAGAAGCTGTCAGTCTCAGCTGTCAATCACGATGTCACACTCCCGTTTTTATAGCATCGCATAACTAACTAAAACCAAACTTATTTAAAAAACGAACACTTGAACTTACATCAGCGTGATAAAATCTACATCAAATGACAAAAACCATCTTTGAAAACAAAATATTTTAAGTGAAATGTAATTATTTAGTTTGTCTCACATCCCATTGGATTACATGCAGAGGGCGGGGTTTATGACCTATTCTGGGACCAGCCACCTGGGGGAGATCGACACGCAATGGCTTCACTTTTGATGACTAGTGCGGCACAATTGGTAAGGACATATCCCTGGCATATCCTCTGCCCTAAATTTGACACGCCCCAAAGCAGTGGCATTGTAGCGTTACCAGCGGCACTGAACGCAGATTTGACGCTGTAGTGGAAAAGCACCATAATTCTACGCCCTTGAATATCTCCATTTGTGTTTCAAAGGTGAATGATAGTCTCATAAGTTTGTAATAAGGGTGAGTAAATAATGGTAACATTTTAATTTTGTGGTGAACTATCCCTTTAAGCATTTAGCTGGCAACCACAATAAAATGGCATTAGCAGAATTGTATATATGACATTTTTATATACCTTACAATCCATTCACAGTCTGTCAGGGGCATATAGAGCAGGTACTTTTAAATTGCCACTCAAGCATTAGATAAGGTTCATACAGCTGGGCCGGAATTCAAAGAGCACTCTGTGTTAGCAAATGCTTAACACTGCCATCTAACTGACCTAGAGCTCTTCACAGTGTATAGGTTAGACTAATGCCATGCTGTGTGTCTTCACAGAATCCAATGGAGATTTTCATTCTTCTGCAGGAGGCCATAGCCAGCAAAGATGCAGAGGTGGAGTTCAGTGGGAATAAGCAGCGAGTGAGAGTGAAGCCTGTGAATTGGAATGAGAGCACACTGAAAGTGACTGCACCTGGTAAAGATGTTCTGTATAGTTGCTTACATTTTAAAACTTAAAGGGTGTAGAAAATGTTATGGTTGCATGTTAAAGGAACACATGCCACAAAAATGATCTGTCATTATTTACTCACCCTAAAAAAAAAAAAAAAAGCTGGTTAATGCTGATTCAAAACTGAAGCCAGTGTCTGTTCTTTGTAATTGCATTGAAAAGAAAAAACAATATATTTTTCAAAAAAATTTGTTCCATGTTCTGGTGGACTATATTCCTTTAAGAAATTGATATATATTATTCATAAAATTATTATTTGGTTGCAATATAATCTGTGTTTGCAGATTTTACTGCTGGACATGTGATTGTAACACTTTACAGTAAAGGCCTTGTGAAAGGCAATGCCTGCTTACAATACTACACCATCATGGAAGATATTGCCCACTTCCTTCAGCAGGCTGCAGATCCTGTGAAGTTTATGTGCCAGGTAAGCACATGTCTGTTTAAGTTTTAACTCACATGCTCAAACAAATTGTCTTCAAATACAATTTTTAGCTTCTGCCCTAAAATATGCAAACTTTTCAGCTTTTCAAATGTGAATTTGATGTAATCTTTAATTTCTGAAAAGAAAAAAAAAACAAAAAACATTTAAGTGAATCAGCATTTATTAGGGTCTTAGGCGTCACACATGGGACAGATGTGAATTATTTTGGATATCTAAATGGAAATCATAGTTATGCAAACAAATTATGAAGCTGAAAACTTGTTAACTTAAACTTGTTAGCTGTCTAGTGCTGTTTTTTCAGGTTTTAGTGTTGCTGCAGTCTTCCAATTGCCAATAAGGGGTTTTCTACAACAAATTAAAGGAAACATTTACTGTTGCTGGCAATCCTATGAGGCAAGCCTAAACTTGTATAGTCTTGCAAAGATTTATTGTGCCCCTAGTGACATGTAGGCCCATATGTATATTGTACAAATCAGGGGCATAGCCAGGATAATTTCATAGGGGTGGCCAGGTAGGGACCCGTAACCAGTCCGGAGTGTAAAATCACGTTCCATTCCCCTCTGTTAAAATCCTCTGTTCCCTGGAGGCGGGGACTGTTTCGAGTAGGGGGTTGGGGTGGCTGCACACTTCAGTTCTGATGGCCACCCCCCAGCTCCACTCCTTGTGCAAGCTGTAAACAAAGTGCTGAATGAGAGCTCTAAAGCTTCATTTATTTCATAGTCAAGATGTTACAGTAGTTTAATATCTAAGAAATATTGAACACCATTCATCATCTATTTTTTTATTTTTATTATTATTATTATTATTTTTTATCAGTACTGGATTATAATCTCCACTAACCCCTTAAAGCCCTTTTCTTATGTGAGTACTTTTAGGGTGTATTTAAGGGTACATTTCCATGACAATGATTCAGAAACAGAAATATCTCTCCACTCCAGACAGGTCAGTGGTTGATGCGGAACCATTGCAATTCGAAAGGAATTTTACACGTGATCTTTTTAAGGCCAGTATTTGTGCTTCAGAAATGGTCAAATTTGTATTTCTTTTTTTATTTAGACATACATTTCTGGATGCAAAAAAATGTATATAAAAAAGCAAAAAAAAAAAAAAAAAATAATAATAATAATTTGCATTTTTTAAATGTTTTGTGTGCAGACAACAGCATTGTCAAAATGATGCCCATTCACACAGATCTGTGGAAAATGATAATACTAATAAAAAAAACAAACAAAAAAAAAACATTGTAATACACCTACATATGGAAAAAAATATGACAAATGACTTTGGAAAAAAAACAAAAAACGTTGAATTGCACTAACTGAAAAAAAAAATAATGCATTGCATTAACAGTGCTTGCCACAGCCATATCACCCTGCAGCCCAAGACTGGTTGCCCACTGAATCTAAGCAGGGTTGAGCCTGGTCAGTACCTGGATGGGAGACCTCCTGGAAAAACTAGGTTGCTGTTGGAAGAGGTATTAGTGAGGTCAGCAGGGGGTGCTCAACCTGTAGTCTTTGTGGGTCCTAATGCCCCAGTATAGTGACGGGGACACTATACTGTAAAAAAATACACCGTCCTTCGGATGAGATGTTAAACCGAGGTCCTGACTCTCTGTGGTCATTAAAAATCCCATGGCACTTCTCGTAAAGAGTAGGGGTGTAACCCCGGTGTCCTGGCCTCTAATAAAGTAGCCCAATTTACATACTTCTAGGAATTGATTGGGACACACTGATAAAAGATTACAAATGAACGTCTTTAATTTTGATTGGAACATTCCAAATTGGCAGTAGATAATGAAAGATTAAAAAAAAAAAAAAACTGTTTTTGACTTTTGCACAATGTGCAACAATGACTCTTGCAGAATGAAACCAGTAACATAAAAAGTGCACACATAAATTAGCTTTTATGTTTACTTTAAGAAAGCAATGTGATATGCTATAAATTAATGTTTAATAGACCTGATAAGAGCAGAAGAGTTCCTCACAATGTACATTATTGATTCACTAATGGTTTCTGCCAATGAAAATTATCAATATTTGTGTTCTATCAGTATTAACCAGAGCATTATGTCGATTGTTTGCTCTCGCAGGCTCTGCTCCTCTGAGATCGTACCCTCTCCTGTCTGTGATCACACACCAGCAGCCCAGCAGCCTCCCGCAGATCTCTCAGCTGTCTCCTCACCTGCCCCTTCTGCCACCCCAGCATCCGCTCACCTCCGAGCCCACAGCCAGCGAGACGCTCGTCAGCATCAGCAGCGAATCAGAGACAGAGCACAGCACCCCGCGGCTGAAGAAACCCCGCCGCAGCCGCACCATCTTCACTGAGCTGCAGCTGCTGGGCCTGGAGAAGAAGTTCCAGAAACAGAAATATCTCTCCACTCCAGACAGGTCAGTGGTTGATGCGGAACCATTGCAATTCGAAAGGAATTTTACACGTGATCTTTTTAAGGCCAGTATTTGTGCTTCAGAAATGGTCAAATTTGTATTTCTTTTTTTATTTAGACATACATTTCTGGATGCAAAAAAATGTATATAAAAAAGCAATTTGCAAAAAAAAAAATAATAATAATAATTTGCATTTTTTAAATGTTTTGTGTGCAGACAACAGCATTGTCAAAATGATGCCCATTCACACAGATCTGTGGAAAATGATAATACTAATAAAAAAAACAAACAAAAAAAAAACATTGTAATACACCTACATATGGAAAAAAATATGACAAATGACTTTGGAAAAAAAACAAAAAACGTTGAATTGCACTAACTGAAAAAAAAAATAATGCATTGCATTAACAGTGCTTGCCACAGCCATATCACCCTGCAGCCCAAGACTGGTTGCCCACTGAATCTAAGCAGGGTTGAGCCTGGTCAGTACCTGGATGGGAGACCTCCTGGAAAAACTAGGTTGCTGTTGGAAGAGGTATTAGTGAGGCCAGCAGGGGGTGCTCAACCTGTAGTCTTTGTGGGTCCTAATGCCCCAGTATAGTGACGGGGACACTATACTGTCAAAAAGCACCATCTTTCGGATGAGACGTTAAACCGAGGTCCTGACTCTCTGTGGTCATTAAAAATCCCATGGCACTTCTCGTAAAGAGTAGGGGTGTAACCCCGGTGTCCTGGCCTCTAATAAAGTAGCCCAATTCCACGGGAAAACCGCGGACTTGGCAACACTGTGACGGATATAGTAATGTCTACGACGGACACGACCGCTAACGCGGCGTGACCACAACAGCTTGAAGTTGTCTAATTTGGCACGGTCTCCCTGCTGCACTAATAGTAAGGCTTTCCTCTGTGTATCCTTTCAAGTGCAATTTTAGCTGGATTATTTGTGTCCCCTTCAAAAATTGCTCTTGAGAAATTTTATGTTTATTTTTTAAAGAAATAAACAAATAAGTAAATAAATAAACAACTGTTAACTCGAACAATACAAAATAATTATATTGTCATTTATGTAATCTACGGATAACTGAGCATTAAATTATTTAATGCACGCATCGTTAAGTATTCTCGTCATGACGGAGGCAAAGAACCACCCGACGCGCAACAGAGATCTAGCATTCTGCCGCTTTAAATGAGACACAGAGATGAAGTAGGCTAGTGCGGTAAGATCACGTGTATTTGAATGCATCAATAATAATAATATATTATTGATTTGAATTAATTAGAGAGAGAGAGAGAGAGAGAGAGAGAGAGAGAGAGAGAGATTAAAGTTGCATGTGTGAATTGCGTCTGTGCGTCTCATTCTGCAAAAGTGAAGATGTGCGTTTCGTTACTTCAAAACATACATTTTAGCCCCTATTTGCTGAGAAATATAATGTAGTGATTCAGTATCGAAGCTACTATATTAATAAAACTTGCACGGCAGCGTTGACAACAAGTGTTCATGCTCGTGAATATTTCCGTGTGTGAGCGCGATCTCTGATCTGTGTGTCTCTGCAAGTGATGTGTGTGTGCGTGCGGCATCTCATGTGTGTCAACAATATAGCAGCAATATAAAACTAGTAGCAGAGAAACTTTTTAATATGATCTTATCTGAGGGAAAAAAAACAAGTTGAATTAACTTTATACTTATACCTTTTAATTTTAAAGGGGTGGTTCAGTGGGTTTTTTCTAGGCTTGATTGTGTTTATGGGGTGCAATCTAACATGTTTTAATGCTTCGTTAAAAAAAAAACGAATTATTTTTCACATAATTTACCTTTATTCCACACCGCTCTGTCCCTTCTCTGAGAAACGCGCTGATCAATTTCCTGTTTTTATGAAGCCCCTCCCTCAGAAATAGGCGATGGGCTCTGATTGGTTAGCTAGCCCAGTGTGTTGTGATTGGCTAAACCGCCTCTAGTGCGCGTCTAAACGTACCCTCCCTCTCCTCAGCAGCATGTGCTCCGGTTGTATTGTAAATAAAGGCGTCTTTAATATCGCTTATCAGTTTGAGCCCGATTGAGAAACAGAGGATATTATTGAAGAGGATCGTGCAGAACACGGCTTTTAATGGTAGGCCTTTGATTTTTGTTTGTTGTTGTCTCATACTTTTAGATATGCTGTTATTTGTAAATGCTACTGCTTATGTTAGAAGACAGAATCATGATTCATATATGAATTGATTTTTACGTGCACCTCTAGTTTTCTCTTCCTCTTCCCTAAAGCAACGCAGCATGGCCTCGCCCCCTTTGCTGTCTTTTCCTGAGGCCGGGGTTTATCTGGGTTTGTGATGTCACGAACCCGGGAAGTAACTCGTTGTAGTCCCTACCAGCCGTTTTTGTAGGCATTAAACTGCCAGAATTTTAAAAGACAATATCTCCGTTTGCATTGAACTTTATAGCTTCGTAACTTTGCAGATATTGTTTATGCTCAAACAGCAACATTACACACTAGCTAACGTTAAAAAAGTGAAATCGCAATGAACCACCCCTTTAAATTTGACTGAAATGCGTTGTTAAAGCACTGCAAATGTCTTGACCGGTGACATGATCAGGGATTGCCA